CCTGCCCCCCTAGTCCCCTTCTCACCATGTTCTTACGCGTAACGAACCACACGAGGCTCCTTTCTAATCACGCTAATCGTACTTACCGAAGCATTTGCTTTGGTTGGTGGCTCGGTCGATGAAGACCTTGGAGGAGATGACGTTGCCGAACGGAATGAACATCTGCATGAGCTCAGCATCCCCAAACTCCTGGGGCAGGTGGTAGATGAACAGGTTGCAGCCCTCGGGTCCTGAGATAGAGCATCCTACCATATAAATCAGAGCACATCTAAACATCTAACCTTGAAGTATAATACTCAAGTTAGAATGTTAGTTTTTTTATCAGTTTTTTTTCCTTTTCAAAAAAATGATTTTCACGATAAGCGCACTTGTCAATTTGCGCCTCCGTCTCGCGGTTATCGAGTCGCATCGATCCGTCACGATGAGAGTGACGTGGACATTTCGTCGTCATCTCGCAATTGCCATTGCATCGCACTACTGATTGTACGTTGACACGCGCGAATGATTTCGCATTCAATTGATTTCGGATTGAATTAGTTTGATCGTAAATAAAAATTCATTCCTCTTAGTCTAATGAGAGATGCGAATGATTCGTTAATGATAATGCGATCGATGACTCGTGCGATATATATATATCAATGATTCCCCGAGTGAATATAATGATAATGATTTTCATGATGTTACTGATAGGAATTGTCTGATGGTAAGAGAAAATTATAGATCTTGCTTCGAGTCTCGTTAATTGTTATTATTGTGAGACTCGTGCTTCAAGTAACGTTGAGTATTTATACTTTCAAATAACACAGACACACAACATTGGGAGGCACAATACATCAAGGCTCGAGGGATGACGGAGGTTATGACGGGGGAACGTTGACGAACAATGACGATGATGATGACGATGAGGATGACGATGATACCGCATGACCTATTTTTCGAAAGTGAACGCTTATCGATAGCACGGTCCATTTTTGATGGTGTATTAATGAGGATTTTTCGAAAAATTCAAAATAGCTCGTGACGTAAAAATTAAAGATGGCGGGTGTACCTGAAGTATTGTGACCATGCCAGGGGTTGGTACAGTTGAGAAAGAAAGTGTGAGAGTAGCATGGAGAATCTTTGGTTGGGACACCAGGTGGTGAGAGAGAAATTTTCGAAATTAATACCTTGCGAGAGGAGGGAGTTAGGAACGGCAGGGGGTTAGGAAAGGGATGGTTTAAGACGGGTGGGAATGTAGCGCAGGCGGCAGGACGGGGAGTTGGAACAAAGGTGATGGCGAGGGGGGAGGG